ACAAGGTCCAGCAGCGCGCCTTTCCTTGTTGGTTCCTCCACCACTTGCATCAGAAAGTTATCATCGATGCTCTGCAGGAACCTCCTGGATTGTGCGTGCCTAGCTGTGTGGTCTTCCCAGCTGATGTCAGGGTGATTGAAGTCCCTCATGAGAACCAGGGCCTGTGACTTTGAGGCTGCTTGCAGCTGCTTGCAGAAGGCCTCATCAGCTTCCTCCTCCTGGTCAGGTGGCCTGTAGTACACACCCACCGTAATGTCACCCATGTGAGCCTGTCCCTTAATTCTAACCCATAAGCTCTCAACTCCTTCATCTGCCCCCAGGCCAAGCTCAATGCATTCCAGTTGCTCCCTCACATATAGAGCAACTCCACCACCTCTCCTTGTTGGCCTGTCTTTCCTAAAGAGTCTGTAGCCATCCATGACAGCATGCCAGTCATGCGATTTGTCCCACCACATTTCTGTGATGGCAACCGAGTCGTAGCCGTCCTGCTGTACTGTGGCTTCCAGCTCCTGCTCTTTATTACTTCATCAGGGTTTCAGCCTTCTAAGCCTGAATTGCCTCATGCAGGTCAAAATGTCAGGGAAACCAGTAAAGGAACAGATAGGTGAGATGAGGTAAAGAGTACATAGCAAAGAGCAATCATACACAGAGGTTGATGGAAATGTAGAAGGTATGGGCTGTATGATGCATTCAGACCATACAAGAAATGACAGTTTCAATAAAACTTGGCAGGAAAAGAATGTGCATTTTGAGGAGTCTGGACAGAAGATCCCACTCTTTGGTTTTGTGCGTAGGTGGCTGTGTGAACTTGCCTATTTCAGCAGTGGTTTTCAGGACGTTCACTCCTGTGGGAATCCATACCCACAGAAATGTTTGGAAAAGACCTGGTTAAAAATAGGCATAGCCTATGCCTCAAATACTTAAGCCAGATGGAGGAGAAAGATTTATCAGGGACAGTTGTTTGGCAGCCCAAGCTTTCCTTGGCTAGCCCCATTCTTACAGGAGTTTGATGCTTTATTTCTCTCCCAGTCTTAACCGTAACCCTACTTGTGTCCTTGGCTGAGCCTTAGGCTAAAGTCTACAGCCACGGTCGAGGTGAGAAAGTTAGGGGGAAATGTTTTTGCAGCCTGTGCCTTCCCTTAGTGGGCTCCTTGCAGCCCTGCTCCCTTGGAGACCATAGGCTTCATCTCCCTCCTGACTCTACGCCTAACACTGACTCTGGATGTTGGCCTTGGCTGAGGCTTGGGCAGGTACCCGGCCCTGGCTGAGGTGAAAAAGATATTAGGGGATAAATGATTTGTAGGCTATGCTTATTTGGGCACCTCTGATTCATTTAATTTCAAAATGCTGTAGCAGTGCAGTTAAATCAGGGCTTCTCATTAACTTTGATTTTTCTTTGGTATTAGATGTGACTTTTAGTGCCTAACACTGTTGAATTGTTCAGCTCTTTCCTTGTAATACATTTCCCTTTCCTCTTCATGTGACTTGTTCTCAGTAATACTTTGTCTCCTACGTGATAGGAAGCTTGCCACTGTAGGTCATGTTTTTTCTTAAATAGCCTGTATTTGTGAAAGCTGTGTTTGGGATGCGAAATTGAAGTGTTGTTTTTAGTAAGTAGCTATAAAAGCGTTCTTTCTGTCTGTAAACATACAACAGTCTTTGACTAGTATTACAGTGAAATGGTCACTTGACTTTAATTAAATCCTCATCACATCTTTCTTGGTGAGGTGTTGCAATATCTCATTCTGAAGCTTGTTGAAGAAGAGATTTTACTTAGTTTTTGGGTTGGGGTTTTTTCTGTTGTCCTCCCTCACCCATTTGTATGTGTTGCTTGTTGTCCTTTTCAAAATGAAGGTTATGTTAATAGGGAAAACCAGCAGTAGAGAAGTGAAGGTTAACTGAGGATTTTAGCTGTGTATCTCAGTTGCTGAAAGGACCTGTAAACAGTTGTCCAATACAAACTATTTATCTTTGGTACTGAAAGGACATAGATTTTTTTTCAGTCTCTCCTTCATTTATGCATTTATTTTTGATTTCTGCCTGTTCAACTTTTCCTTATATGTAATAGTTCATCTTCAGAAAATTCTCATTAATCCTGGCATTGATTTTAGGGCATTAAAAACTTAGAAACAGGTGTTTTTGAGGCTGTTCATGCTTCTGAGAAATAGAAACAAATCCTGTCAATTCTGAACTTACAGATTTTGGGGAAAAAAATGTTTGGTTTTTTTTTATTCATCAGGAGAACTGCAGGGAAAACTAAAGAATATTGCTTGAAGCTTGCTTCTTACTTGTCTGCTGTATTTCTGCGTGTTTTAGCAATGTTGAAGAGGTCCAGGATTTGAGTCTGTGATGCTTAATGTTTGTTTAGTGGAAAGTGATGATAAAATTACATTTTCTGTAGTTACTGATTTTTTTTTTCCCCTCAACCTTAAACTCGGTACAATAGGAATGCAAAAATGAAGTAGGTCTATAGTAAACTACTGGATTCTAAATAGCACATTCTAAAATACTTCTCGTATAGCTCTGTTCAAAATGACAGTATTCCTCTATACATTGATAATCTGCTCTGCTTTCTTCCATTTATCTCCTGCGTCTCCCATACAGCTGCCACTGAAGCACTGGCAGTAACAGAACACTAAGATTTTTTGCGATTTTGGTATATGGAAAAAACTATTCATGTTGTGGTCTACTGTTAAATATATATTGTTGATTTTGCTGATTATCTATGATTTGTCAAATCTCCGTAAGTATTTAAGTTGTATATAGCATTCCCTCTTGTTCAAATGGCATTCAAATTTAATAACTATACAGAAGTAGCTCCTTATCTTTGAATAATAGCAGATGCAGACCAGTCAGACCTTGGCTCAAAGTGTGTGTTCGAAAACCTTAAGTGACAGAAGTACTGGAGTCCTTTGTAACCATATTCAGGAAGACACATGCTAGGAGGTTAAACCTGAGGGTGTCCTAGTGCGGATCTCCCAGATAAAACTATACTGTCTGTTCCGTAGCATTTCAAGAACAATGTGTCATGCAACGAAGGTGAGCTCTGCAATGGAGAGTTTCTACAAGTAGACCTTTATGAACCGACTTAATTTCTGAAGTGTGAAACTTTTGCTTTGTTATTGGTAGTTTAACAGATTTCAACTTTTTTCCCCCCTTCCCAGATTTTGGCGTTAGTGCATTTTTAGCAACAGGAGGTGATGTTACTCGTAACAAAGTAAGGAAAACATTTGTTGGTACTCCGTGTTGGATGGCCCCTGAAGTAATGGAGCAGGTATTCCTAATGTTAAAAAAAAAAAAATTGTATATTTTTAATCTTTAATTTTTGGAACTTGAGACATCACTGCCTTGTCTTTCCTTTCTGGTTCTATTCCAGGTGCGAGGTTATGACTTCAAGGCTGATATGTGGAGCTTTGGGATAACAGCCATTGAGTTAGCAACAGGAGCAGCACCTTATCACAAATACCCTCCTATGAAAGTAACAGTCACTTTGCATTACTTCATACTGTAAGCTGTATTATTAATGCTGCTAGATAGTTAGCACTACTTCATTTTTGGTAGCAACTCAAGATATATAAATATACATGTTCTGTGGAATATTTATTCTCTTCTAATTTCTACATGTTTTGAATTGGTTTTGCTTACAGTACCTCTTTTTTGGGTTTACTGTAGGTGTTAATGCTGACACTTCAGAATGACCCTCCCACTTTAGAGACAGGTGTAGAGGACAAGGAGATGATGAAAAAGTATGGCAAATCCTTTAGAAAACTAATTTCATTATGCCTTCAAAAAGATCCTTCCAAAAGGTAGGTCATTATTGCCATGTACAGTGGATTTGTTTTTTTTAAAAGTATTCAGACTAGTTAAAGTTCCAGTGTTTAAACATCACCTTTAAGTGTAGGATTTGAATTTTATAAATAGCAGCTTTTGGTCATCTTCATCAGGGGAGAAGAAATTGCCTCTTAATTGTTGCTTAAGTTTTCTTCTTCTGGGTTTTTAACCTAATTTGTTTATAATTAAATATACTATTGAATTAAACCCTGATCAAACCAAAAGTCCTTGCTCTATATCTTAATTGCTCATCTGAGGCAAGATACAAATCTTGATATTGTGCATAAGTGTAACAAGACTGTTCAGACTGATCAGACAGAACTGTTGGTAACCAAACATATCAGTCTCTTGGCCTTTAAATTAAAACTAAATAAATAATTTTGTTGATTTTTCTCATTCTGTGACATAAGCTCAGTGTTGCCTTTGACTTGGATATTTCCAGAGAAAATTACTTATTAAGAGGTATTTATTTTTTACTGTAAAGTTAGGGGCCCCGAGCTTGTTTAGAGTTTTCCTTGTGTTGATGTAGGCAATTGTATATCATGGTATCTTTCTGATTTGTTCTTTCTTGCTGTGTTTTGTGAATGGGATAGCCGAGATGATGAAAATATTAAACATCTATTCCAAAACCATTGCTGAGGTCCCAAGTTCCCAGAAGGATTGATTTGTTTATCCTTTATTCATTTTTATGCAGACCATTTTTGTAGGTTTCTTTTGCTGTAGAGTTGAAGGAGGCACATTCTAATTAACATTATTTCCTAAGGTTATTTGATAGATCCCTTCTTTGAAGAGTTTCAGAACTGGTATTTCTGGGAAAAAAAGATTGTTCTGAGAGCGCAATCCTGATTGAGTACTGCATGGGTCTTTTGTGGTGTGTACTTCTCTTCACTGATGTTACGCTAGCTGAAGTCCAGGATATTGTTTCAGGGAATCAAGTTGAAAAGGTAACAGGAGCAATACAGAGAACAAGTATAATTAAGAAAAAAGATTGTGTGGCAACATCTTCATGCTTGAAATTCTTCAAATCCTGTTTTTCACAGCAGGATCATTTGTGTACTGTTTCCAAATTCCCAAACCCATTACAATTGTGGTCTAAGTAGCAAGTCCTGATGCTTTTAAGCTTAGCGCTGCAGTTTGGCTGCTTACAGATAAGAATGAAATGTGTTCTGGATAATCGAGCTTCTTTCAGTTACCAGTGTCCAGCAATTTTCCTTGCAAGATTAAATTCATATGGAAACATGAGAAGTAAATAATTCGAATAGTTTTCCTTCTCTCCTTGAATACATAATGCTGAGTTACCTGATCTGTAGTTACGACATCAGTGTTGAAACATGAGTGTAATTAGTTTAAACGCTAGTTTATTACACTAATATGTAAACACATGCAATATCTTCATACTCAGGATTGCCTTGAATTGAACAATTAGACCAGCAGATAAATGATTAGATCTGTGTGCCAGTTACTCTTAACCGAGGGCCAGTGTCTTTATATTGTGGGGTCATTTTTGTTCTTTGTGTTTCTCCCAAGTCAGGATTTAATTTTGCATGGAGATACCTCTATAGTCGTCACGTCACTTGTGGGAGAAGTGCCTGCTCTTTGAGGCAGATTCTGGGGCTGGTGTTGCACTGTTGTTGTCTCCGACCATGATGTTTTTCTTTTGGGGATCTGTGTATGGGTGTTTCTCTCTCTCCCCAGTGCCAGGGATGCTGCTTACAGTCCTCAGCTGCAGTTCACTGCCACAGCCTGTGTGGAAAACAGGCCCTGAAAGCATGTCCAGACCAGTTCAGAAGTGTCTGGCATAATTAATGGTGGAGGAACAGAGAACGCTAGTTTGGATAAAACTGCACAAAGAATCTAGCTTTTAACTGTGTATATCCCCGTTATGAGGTGTAATGGTAGCGGACCACTGAAACTTGTCTTAAATGTTAATTTGAGATAAAACTTTAAAACTTTGACACAGAAACTGATTTTTTTTTTTTTTTTTAATGTTCCCTTTCCTTTTTGCTCATTCAAGGTTTATGTGTGAATTATTGCTAAGTCTGGTGGTCTCCACAGTACCACTAATAAGAACTTTTTTATTGTAGATTTTTGTGCTTTGTAGGGGAAGGAAAAACAGGTGCTCTGTGGAACTACTGTCTGTGTCTACATTGGATGTTTTTTGTTGGTATCCTGAGTTGTTTCATTATTTCTAGCAGAAGTGAGCTGATACATACATACACACACACTATACTTACTACTCCACTTACTCTTCAGATGTGTCTGCAGAGAAATAAACTAGTTCAGATTTTGGGGTTTTTTGAGATTGAAATTTTCTAAACTGAAGCTTCCACTGTCTTGTTTAGTTTGTGTTATATCCAATCTCTTGCTTTAATTCAAATGGAAAACTATAGGAGATGTTGCTTCTGTTCATTTAGAAATCATGAATCGTGGAGATGCTGGCTTCCCTAAATTTAGCTGTGTCATAATAGTCTTGGTAGTGATATGGGCTCCTAATGGAAACGATGAAAAGAACCTGAAGGATTTAATTTCATCCCAAGAGATGCTTTGCTTTCTCTCTAGAGTCTGCTGCAGTACCAGAGTCTGGCTTTGGCTAGATAAGTAGCTTTTTAGATCCCTGAAGCTAGGGGAGACAAATCCTGCTGTTAGATTCCCTTTGGTAGCTGTGAGATTGTGATTATCTGTTGAAAACATCAAAAATATAAACTTGACAGTGATGGGAAGAGAGAAACTAGAACAGAACTGCAAGTAGAAGTGTGCAATGTCTAGGATTTGACTTTACAACTGTTGCCTTGATTTTTATTTGTCCATTTGGTTGGAAGATGCTGCTGATGACTCTTGGTTTATGCATCACATTAACAGTGTCAGTGTAGTTTTTTGTGAATATCTGCCGACATCAGTGAAGTAAAAGAATTGCCAGTAGCAGGTATTGACGCTACTATTTGGAAAATGTAGTTATTTTTCTATTGCTGTGGAGCAAAGTTCAGTTGCATTAATGGAGTCACTTGGGGAAGAATGTGATGCCTACCTTTTTTTGTTTGTTTGTTTTATGGGTAAAATGCATTTGTGTTGAAAGAAAAAGGGGGAAAATTGGCAACTTAGAGACTGATTTTTTTTTTTTTTTTGGTATTTTTTGCCATAGGGAGGCTTAGTTTTTTCATGTGTGGTAAGTGAGTACATGTGAATTAATGCAGTAGCTGTTGCCATTCATTCCCCATTCATACAGTACTAATTCAAAAGTATTAGAGACGTACCATTTAACTAACGTCTTGTACTGTATTCAATGAGAGGGGTCTTTGTTTTCTGTTCTAATTTATTATTGATCTTTCAGGCCCACAGCAGCAGAACTTTTAAAATGCAAATTTTTCCAGAAAGCCAAGGTAAAACGTTTAACCCTATGAGTAAATTTTGCTCTGTCTTAAAATCTACATGAAATTTCTTCTTTCCTTGTATTGATATTTAACTTACCAAATGTTGGTTTTGCAGACTAGAGAATACCTGATTGAAAAGCTTCTCACTAGAACGCCTAATATAGCACAAAGAGCAAAAAAGGTGAGTGTATTCACATCCTTTTCTTGACTGGCATGCAGGAGAAGGCACAGACTGTTCAGTTGCCTGACGTTTTAGTTGACCGATTGACCCATTCTCTTATGCAGTTATTCAAAGACAATGACTGTTGAATGAGGGTTTCTGCAGCCTAGCTTTCTCCAGGAAGCCCTGGGACATTTTTACTTCTTTTCTGGCCTTGCCAAAATGATACAGGGTTATTGATCATCATACATGATATAATTTTTTCCCACTCCCTTTTTGGAAAGCTATGGATGAAATGGTTGTGCAAATAAAAAGCAATCTGTGAGCATATAGGTTCGTAAACTGCAAAACTCATATCTTGATGAATCATCTAGAGAAAGGGTGAAGATACTATAAATGATATTTATAAATGATATTTACTGAGGACCACTTGGTTCTTTGGATTATTTCGAATGTGACACCTAAATGTATGGAAGTCGGGATTGAACTCTGCAAGACTGCTGCTGAGTTATTCAGACCAGTGGAGCCTTATGCTCCAGGTGAAGGAGTTAAACCCACAGCTATGGCATATGCTGGTATTTCTGTGGTGCCTTTGGCGCTTGTGTAACGAGCTTACCAGTTCATGTGCAGCAGAACTAAAAAAAAAAAGACAGACTTCTTAACAGGCTTAACAGGTAAGTATTTTAAAACTCGAGTATCAAACAAGCTACTGTTCATAAGAGCTAATAAACAGGAGCAATTGTAGACTCCTGTAGGCTTCAGTTTCCTGGACTGGCGCTTGTAGGGTTTTCTGTTGTCTGCGTGGGAACCAGTTTGGCGTAATTCTACAACACCGAGATGTTCCTGGGGCTGGTGGCATAGACTTAGAAGAGACTGTCAGCAAGATTCGAATGCTGCAAGTTCCTTCTGATCTTCTTTTAGGTCGAAGTCATTTGGGAAGTCGGTGGCAATGATGGGGCTTTGTGAGACGTTGGAGTAGCAAGCTGGAGTGAGAGGGCTTGTAGAAGGGGCGGTGTGCGGAGCAGGGTAGCGCCTGCAAGGTGCGGAGGAAGGGTAGGCAGTAGTTCGGCTCTCTGGCCATGTGGTGGCAGCAGTGCCCACATAAAAACTATCGAACCGGGAAAAATCGTGGTCGTTTGTTTTTCATTTTACGTCTTGGGCCATACAGGAGTAATTTAGACATGTTCTAGTGCCAGCTAGGCTTCTGACGGAGCCATGTGCCTTGTGAGATTCATCTCGCAGCTGTGTCCTCAAGTCAGTTTTAGAGACTGCATGTTAACTCATACGTGCATGTACGTGTACTTGTTTCTTTAAATAACTTAGCATCTGGAATTGCAAAATCAGTTCAGGGTAGCCTTCCATACACCAGTAGAAATAGTTTTATGACTGGCTTTTTCGGCAATTCTTTCTAATTTGGAACAGGAGTGATTCTTAAGAAATCAAAGGTGTACCATACTGGAGACAAATTAATAGGTCTTTCAATTACAGCATAAGTGGAAAAAATATTCAGATTTTAGCTAGTGAAAATGCTAAATTATTTATATTTTAAAAGGACACCATATTAAAATTCATTAGGGATTTAAAATTTAATTGACTTCTTACAACTTTGAATGTAGCTGCTGTTTTAAGATGTCATGAAATATAAATGTATTTTAATATTAAAACTGTGGGTTTTTATTTAAAAAAGATTATGTAAGTAGAGTTTGGTTGCTCAAACATTAACGTGTAAAATGTTTAAGAGGTCACTCTTGGAAGAAGTAACTCCTGTAATGGAAAAAAGAATGTCACTAGGGCAAGAAATGGGAAGGAGCTGGTGTCATTGCTCCTTAAATTATCTTTTGTAGAACTTCATGTGAAATGCCTGTAACTAATGATCTGTAGCACTGCTGCTAGCACAGATGTCAGATCTTCTCTGCAATAATTTAATTTTTCTTGCATTTACCACATGTATAATTACTTCGCCTTGCTGCCCAGAACTCCAGCCTTAGTTTAGTTTTAACTTTAAATTCTCTTCTCTTGACGTAGTGTTCTGATGTTTTGCTTTTGTCTTTACAGCTTATATTTGGCAACTCTTTTGACTAAATATGAATTCATGTCTGTTTGTGAAATCCTGAAAGCAGGTACACATGATCTTGTATGCATGAGGAAGATACTTGATGCTATAAATGTGTCCTGTTCTAAAACCCAATTTGGTAATTAAACAACACTTACATTGCGTGTTCAAAATACTTTTTAACATCAGAGCTGTAAACTACATCTTTGTGTACATATTCCCCATGTCCCAGTGTTTCTTTATTTGTTTTTAATTCTGCTGTTTTTGAAATGACACCCTTCTTCCTGGCCCTATCCTAGTAATTAAGGATAATGCTGAAACACTTCTGGAATGGACTTACCCAGAAGGAACACGTCTTGGCTCTTCGCCTGCAGAACCTGCTTAAGTATATACCGGTACTGATCCACAGAAAGAAGTGTTACACCATGCAACTTCTTCCTGGCAATTCTGGGTTTCAGTAGTGTGACTGCTGGCTTGTGAGAGTGTTGTTGGTGTCATGAAGAACTGGGAAAAAGGCTGTGGTGAATGGTTTGAGCTCAGTGTGGTCTGGTAAGCGAAGACATGGTCTGATGCTGCGTGTTGGTCATTGATAGAAATGCGGGAGCCCTGATTGCAGCCTCTGCCTTGATAGCTAGTGTGATGGTAGAGCATCCTGCCCTGTCCTGCTGAGATCAGGGCTGTGTACGCTCCTGTTAAATGACACCTTAGCAAGAGTTCAGATACACGATTTATTAATACATGTTGAAGTAGTTTTAATTTTGAACTGAACGCTAAGTCATTTCATTTGTGATGAGAATGGCTATATTGGAATAAAGGAAATTGGAAACAGCTTACAGTTCCACGGTCAGTTTTGAAATCTTGTCACACCAAGAAATTAATTAGAACTGTAAGTACTCTGTATGGCCAGTGACCCTAGGTCAATTTTGTGGTTTTATAATCCTGTTTCTTTAACTTTGAAAATCTCCTGCATGACTGCCGCTTTTACAAAGTGAACAGGGAACAACATGTATCTGCATTTCATTTTATTGCTGTCTGAAGTGTTGCTAGTAAAAAAAAAAAATCTGAGTAATAATTGGGCTTGAATTCTATTTTTGGGGAGGTGGTATTGCTCTGCACTGTTAGCAGAAGCTCTTTAGAGCTTAGAGTTATAAGTTCCTGGGAAAAACCTGTGACAGGATAAAGAGATGATTAGTGTGAGTGATACCAATTTTTATTAAAACTACAGTAGAAATACCCTTACTGATGGGTTGGAATTCTAGCTCTGCAGTGCAGCTAATTTAGGGAAATGATTATGTTACCCTATAGAAGAAATTAACCATCCCTTGCATTTAATGAGGAAAATATCATTAAATCCTAGATTTCTTCAGCAACTCGAACAACATGATTGCACCTCAGCAAGACATACGTATGAAACATTTGCTTGTTTCAGTGATGGATTTAATCTGATAGACACACCTCACCAATAATGGGTGTTAGTACAGCTGGACTCCAGACCTTTTGAAAAGAAGAGAGCATCATTAGTTTGAGCTCAGATTATTAATAAAAATGTATATTCATTGCTATGAATCTTTACACTTTAAGAAATGCTTATTTCATTAACGCTGATGTATAAAGAGGAAGCACAAGATGTTATACTGGCACACTTTTTCTGGAAAACAGCAGCTGAACTGTGTGTTTTTGGCAAGACTGTGTGTGTGGGAGGCCCCTCTATTGCAGAGGATTCGTTATTCAGTTTACCCAGAACACTGCTACAAATGAAAAAATAGTGCAACTGTTTTTATATTGTTGGATTTTACTAGAAAAAATCAAGGAGAAATTTGCGCTCAGACCATATTGGGCTTTTTGTTTATTTTCAAGAAGATGTTGGAAGTAAAAATTAATGGAAACACTTTTTCCATAAAATGTAAATTTGACAAATATTCATGTAATCAGTAAGTAGTGCCTGCGTTAGTGGGTAGTCGAAGTGGAAACTGTTTTAAGGGGCAGACACATGCAGTTGCCTCATCTTTGTTTGAACATTTCAGATAAAGGAAAAAGATTGCTGTCAACATTTCTGCCAAGTGTGCTTGATTTCTGTTGTGCCATAAGGTACAAGCAACTTCATACAGTGTGTGGGTTTGTCGATCCTTTCACAGGGTGCTTTTACCATCTCTATAAAGTTCATGAGGCTGTATTCTGTGCCCTCTCAAATGGAGCTAATCTAGTACAGGATAGACGAGCTTTAAAGCAAGCTACAGAACAGCTGGCTCAGCTGAGTGTCTCTTGTACTTCAGATGGCCATAAGTACCTCTACAATAACTTGTATGACTTGGTTTTGCAGGGTTTAAAAGCTCACACATAATTTGTCTCAATCGTTAAAAAGTAATGCTCTCCTGTATTGGATAGTATTCTCCGGTTCATGGGCTGTCATGGTTCAACTTCAGAATTCGTTTGTGCAGTGAATGAGTCACCGTCTCTTGACTAACAACATCGATCTGCTCACTAGCTGATGTGTTCGTGACCTGTTGACTTGTTCCAAAATGTCTAAAACATGGACTAACATGAGGCTGGTGTATATTGAGACAACTTTTCTGATTAGAGCAGTAGCTTTAAATATTTGACATTTATCTAAGCTGTTGAAACTTTTGGTTCTGGAGGAGGCTTTCATTACTGTGAACGGAGGTGTAGTGTATCCTTAAAGGTGCCGTTGAAGGAGTGCTGGTTAAAGACTCAAGACAGAATAGAGGAAGTCCAGGCAAGCATGATGCTGGTGGTAGATTCTTTGATCAGGAAGTAAGTCTTGTAATTAACCAGAAGATAGTCCTGTTTTCTTGCACTGGCTTTTAGTGGTTTAGTTTTCTCTCTCTTGCTGAGAACATGCAGGAACGTGCTGGTTTTACATGTTTGCCTTCTGAGAAGTGAAGCCTCAAAGACGTCACTCGCATGACATCCAAAACCAGATTGCCTCTCTTGGATTTGAAATGGTATT